AACTTCCCGTATATCTCCAAGTGGTCTTCGCTTCGTACCTTCTTCCGAAGGGTTGCCTCCTCCCTACTCTCTAGCATCTCCTTGACTTTCGTCTTGAACCCCCCGAACTCTTCCGTGTCCAACGTCTCCTCCTCGTCTCCTATCTCCTTCCAAACCTTCTCTACCACCTTGTCCCATCTGATTCCCTTCTTCCCTTGAGTCGCTTTTCCCCAAGCTGCCTCGTCAACCATGGCTGGTAGTCTATCGTCCGACATTCTACTTACCTTGTACTGCCAATTCAACTTCTGCATGTCTCTTTGTTTTAAGAGAGTACATTCCCAATTCTGCTCTCAATACAGTGTTGCTCGTTGTACTTGAACATCCTAGTATTTTCTTGGCCGCTGCCATCTGCACCGTTTCCAGCTGCTTGACGGCCTTTTCGTTACCTTCCCATATCTCTCCTGCATACTCTAGCTTAGGTACAATCACATTCAAGAGAATACACCTCTTAATCCTAGTGTCTAGGTGTGGGTCCGTAAGGATCTCGTCCATCTTGCCTATCTGAGCTTTACTCTTCCCAATCAACTTCGCTATGTGTGCGTCCCATGAGCACTCCTTCGAAATCTCTACTCCCAGGTACGTATACTTGTCTACTACCGGTAGTTCTTCCTCCCCCCATTTCCATTTGAATTCTACGGGATTTTTCTTATGTTCGTTACAGACCACTACTGCGCATTTTCCTACGTTCGCCGACAGTCTCCATTTTCGGGTGTATCCTACCGCCGTATCTATTTGTTCTTGCAACCCTTCTGGTGTTTCGGATACCCCCACGAAATCATCTGCAAACATCAGTCCGGACACACTCTTTCCCTCTACTTGGACTCCCTGTCTTACTGCTTCAACCGCCCTTATCAAATCGTTGATGTAAATCTTAAAAAGAGTGGGTGACATCGTACAGCCCTGTGCGACTCCTTGTAGTATATCAACGTACTTCGAAATTTCCCCATCCAACATCACCGCACTTCTTGTGCATTCTGTCATCTTTTTCAACATCCTCCACATTTTCCCCCGGATGCCGATGTCCCACATCTTTTTCCACAATCCATTGCGCCATACGGTGTCGTAGGCTTTTTGTATATCGAGGAAGAAACAGTATGTCGTACGCCCGGCGTCTTTCCTACCTTGGATGATTTTACTCAACGTATATACATGGTCTACACAACTACGATCTGGTCTAAATCCAGCTTGTCCTTCGCTGATCTTTTGTTTCCCCTCCAACATGTCTCCCATTCTATTGTCTATCATCTTGCCAAACAGTTTCCCCACTGTGCTCAACAGGGTTATCCCTCAATAATTCCCCGGGTCAGCTTTATCCCCCTTTTTGAACAGGTTCACGACTACTCCTTCTCTCCATCTCTTCGCCGCGTACTCGTGTTTCCATATCCAGTTGAATATCCGGACCAACATGTTAATCATCCCCTCCCCCCCCTGTTTCAAAAGCTCGTTCACAATTCCATCAGCCCCTGCCGCTTTTCTATTCTTGAGGGGGGGGGGGGGGGGGGGAACCCAAATCGTGGATGGCCGAATCCTTAAAACATTTACCCCCCCACCCCTACAAAGCCGGGACGGAGCATGCCGGGGTTCTCACCGGACCAGGCTCTCACATCACCAAGCGCGAAGCGCCGCGAGGTATTCGGCGAGTCGCATGAAGGGTGCGCTGCATCCTGCTAAGGGTGTTCGGCATCTTGTGCTTACTTCCTTGCCTACTACGAGAGGGGGGGGGGGTGTACTCATAGTCGTGCATGCCGTAGTCGTTTGACCATTGACCTCGCATCCCTACAAAGCCGGGACGGAGCACGCCGGGTTCTCACCGGACCAGGCTCTCACATCACCAAGCGCGAAGCGCCGTGAGGTATTTGGCGAGTCGCATGAAGGGTGAGCTGCATCCTGCTAAGGGTGTTCGGCATCTTGTGCTTACTTCCTTGCCTACTACGAGAGGGGGGGGGGGGGGGGGGCTTTTCCAAAGGAAGGGGTTTTCCTTTTCCCAAAATTTTCCGCAGGAAAAAACCGGGGCCTCCCCCCACAAAAGCGGGGAAAAGCCCCTTCCTTCCCTGAACAAAACAAGAAAAGAATATTGGCTCCAACTCCCGCCCCCCGCTCTGCAAACAAAAAACTGCAAAAAAAAAAGAGCTTTTTAAATCTGAATTATTTGAGGAGCGGAAAAAAAAAAACCCCCACTGGCCAAATAAAAACCAACAAAAAAAGGAGCCTCCGAAAATGAACCCAAAACTTTTCATGAAAAGTTTCCCCCCCAAACAAGCAAAAAACCGTTAAAAAAATCTGCTGCCCCCCAAAAGTACTTCGGAAAATCAATTCAGAATTTTCCCTAATTGGCCCCCCCCCGGGTTGGGGGAACAAAAAACCCCTTTCAAAAGTCGGGGGGTTCCCGTTCCACCC